TCAATACGCGAAGAATGTTCCTGTTCAATTAAAATAGCGCGTTAAGTAAAATTGCTCGGCGTTTGATCCCGACGGAAGTTTCGATGAACATGTTCACCCTGGACGATTTTCGCGTGAAAGTTGAGATCAGGCACCGGAAGTCTAAAGAAGAGAAGACGTTTAACTTGTTCGGTGGTCCAGTCATATAACATCACTGTCGGCTGTTAAGCAAGCTGCTGCTCGGCGAAACTATTTTCACCGTGCTTACGTTACTTTCGTGAAGAACTTCAAAACGGCTACCTGTAAAAATAGTAGGGCGCACGGGAAACAGTTGGTTCCCATCGGGGAAATGTTTTTCGTGTTTTCTCGGGTAATGCACGCTGAACGATGACCTCGAGGAAGTGTGAAAAGCGTCTAGTAAATTATAACTATTCTCTCGGAGTATGTATTACGTGAACTAACCTGTCGACGGAGGATCATTTTCAAACTTTCATCGCTCGACTCGTGCTTGTTATCGCATAATATGATCTACAAGGTATTACGAAAGTATTCGAACGACTTCTAACCGTTCGATGCTTGTAATAATAAAGTTCCAGCATAGGATCAGAATGCTATTGCTTAAGTGATCGCACAGTAAGAAACAAAACTGAATAAACGTATAAACGGACGAATAAACGAATAAATAAAAAGACGTGCAATGTGTGATATAAAACATGGCTATAACTTCCCCCAGATGGGGTCAGCGTACAAGAATGATAAAAGAAAGTTTCTACGGGGCGATTCCTATAAAACGACGGATGCGATTACAGTCTGTAAAAGTTTGAGAACATATGGAAAAATTATTCATACGAAAAATATTCGGTTCGAAGATGAACGTCATATGGCGGAAACGACTGTTCTGTGGGGTTGGAACGTTAAGAAGATCTGAAAGTCGACTTTGCTCTTTATTCTTATTCGAAACCTTATGTTTTTCAACTTCCTGGATCAGACTCATTTCGAAGATACCATTTGGACTAAAAATTCTACTTGTTAACAGTTTTTTTTAAACGTCCTTTAAATACGATCTCATCGGTTATTCGAGACGACTAATTCTGTACGAACGTACGTATTCGATCTGGTTTCAAAGTTACCGCCATTTTTGTATTTCAATTATTCTCGTTACGGACAAACGTCCAACGTAATTTGAATGTGGCGGCAGAAAAGTGTCCGATTCCTCTCTAGACATTTGAAACGTAACTATTTCGTTGGAGTCTTGCATTTGTTCCCGAGGGCTTCGGGATTCAATCACAAAGAATGGTTGTACAACGAATAATGAGAAACCGTGCACAGACGACAGGTTGTTACGTTTGTTGAATCGCAATCAACCTGATGCAAATATCCGATGCAGTTTGGTATAAGCTATAAATTATAAAGGATTCGTCAACTGTGTTCATAATTTAACTGGAACTTCTGATTCCCTTTGAGTCGACTACAAACGATTCGAGAGTACATAGACACGATTCTCTGAATTTCCGATATTCTAATACAGATATGTCAAACTCATATCAAACTCATTTTCATTTTTGTATGCTACGAATGTCTCGTGACTGTCTCGTCATGCATTAAAGGGCAGTAGAACCTTTACTATTCCACAACCATTTAACAGAAAAGTGGATTATTTGGAAAACTCTAACGAAAGTAATTTAAGGAAGAGGCTCGTAAGTAATGGAACGGTTGATCGTGAAACTGTCGAAAATATAAAAGGAAACTATAAGAGAAATGTAGAAATGGAAAAGAAAGAAGAAATTGTATCAGAAAATAATGTTTCCAGACATTCTGAAGCATTCGCTGCGCCAGACAAAAAGCTTAGACGATACGAAGCACAGGAAGAAAGCATCTTCACTGAAAGAACTACGTCAAGAAAAATATATACGAACTAACTACTTACGAACACTAGGAAAATAAAATTGAGCATGAAATGTTAAATTATTATTTTACATCTTTCCTTGCAGACATTTTATTATCTGTTTTGACTTTAGTTTTCCTACCGACAAGTATTTCTTTACTTTTAAACATCTTGAAACGCGACTAATTCGTCGACGAATAAATCCACGTTTGCAGAATTTGCTCTTACTACCTAAAGAAAGTTTTTAGTTGCATTCCAACTTGTCTTGATGACTTAATTTTATGTTAACGAGCAAAACAATTACAGCACATTAATTTATATGTAGTCGTAAACCATTAACTAGCGTCATGAAACAAAACGGTTTGCTTAACTACATCACGTCGTCGAGGAAACGTGGATTTAATAACAAGTAGAACGCCATATTGAGCTCGAGATCTATTTTGTGTAATAAAGCACCTGTGCATTTGACCCTCTAATGCAGATGCATTGCAATCGGCGTATTGTTGCAACATGCGGTCCAGTTTAATGCAATGAAAAGTATATAACAACATTTTTACATGCATACTTGTTTCTCGAAAAACTCGGGTTACTAATATTGTTTGGCTTCGGCTCAGCAATGGATTTTAATTATTATAGTTAAAAACTTGTAATTACGAATATAACATGAATAGAAACTGCATATATTAAAAACAGGGCGATCGCTTGTTTAATTTCTGTTTTTATACAGGCAACATCAATTGTGTCTCATGTCCTGAAATGTCAGGTGTATTTCTAATCTCGCGTGAAAATTTATCCATCGTGTTAGAATATTCCATGAATATCCGAATGGTATTGCAGACTTATCATGAATTTTCAATGGCAGAATATCTTTGCGAACTATCACATTAGACTATTGACGTTCTATTTTCGAAAACTAGACTCAGAGAAGCAATCACGTAATCTGTTAAATGTCAATATCTGATGATAAAACATACATCCTTGGTCTGGTACTATAATTGGTCTACATATAAGTAGTTCCTTATTCGACATCGATATAATAATTCGACACCACTCTAGGATTGCCCTGTACACGCGACAGAATGTTCACGGTTAACGAACAAAACAAGTCTGACAATCGATTTCCGTCGCGCGATCGAAATCGAAATCCCATCGTACGCGATACGTTTGGCAGATCCGTCTCGGCCACGAAACCGTCAAAATTTCGAAATTGTGAATGGGTGTGACCGCAGCGAAGGCCCTTTGCGGGTGCAATGGCACCGGTGAACAGTCACGAACCACCGTGGAATGTTACTTGTCGACGAAGGACATACTATCGTCGTGCGCCAAAGCTACGAGGAAATCTCGCTGCAGTGCTCGACGCACGCTAATCGTAATCGTCATTATAGTGATCATAACGGTTGTCGTTTATTTTACAACTTGCGCGAAGGAAATGACGAACGCGATACGTTCGTCTCTGACGCATCGACGCGAATCCCAACCAGAAACTCCTTCGCCCTCGGCGACGTCGGAAATCGTCGTCGAGAGCGTCGAGAGCGTCGAGAGCGTCGAGACTCCGTCACCGGTCGAGGAAAGCGTCGAAAGTGTGCAACCTGTCGAAGAAAGCGTCGGAAGTTTGCAACCTGTCGAAGATAGCGACGCAACGCTCGCGCTAGAAAACAGTGAGTCGTGGACGAACTAATTTTCTATGAACCTTAGTAAACGTTGAACTAGATTGCACCTTATGTAATTGTAAACGTGATTTCATATATAAACGTCCGAATAGCCGTGCTTCAGTCGTCTCGTTTCGAAAACTTTTACGTAAGAAAGACAAAACTACTTTTAAAATTAATTTTTTCAACCTTCTGTAGCCGGGCGTAACCCCTTAAATTAGTCGGAGTCAGCGTGCAGCCGAAAGTTCGAGATACCTTGCGTGCCACCTGACAGCTGTGCGTTCTTAATTCTCTCGAAAATGGAAGCTTTGCTGCCGTGCAAAATTCATGATCCCTTGTCGAAATCCTCACCGACAGCTGTGCATGTTTAATTTGTTCCAGAATAGAAGCCCGGCCTTAACTCGCGGACAGAAAATTGGCATCGCGCGACTAAAAGGCACTCCATCAGGAACAATCGAATAGTTCAAGAGAAGAGTGGCGAACGTGAGCTATTCGATTAATAATTGCTTCGAGTATCGGCAACGTGTATCGCGATTCAATCCGTTTGCAATATTTTGAGTTCTTGCGGGACAAATAGTGCCCGCGAAATGGAAGAACAGAGTCCAGATAAACGGGGGTCGAAAGATCAGTATTCTCGGAACTATATGGAATTATTATTTTATTATTTTTTCTACGAAATGTTTAGATCGAACGAAACTAGATTTCTATATTTCATGCGAATGGATTAATTTTGTTCCTAGTTTTGGTGTCAGGATTAAATGTTATTTTCCAGGTGAAATTTTTGAGTACAATTGAGTCCTACATACTCTGGCTAGAGTAAATCTGAGAATTCCTGACGCGAAGAAGTAGAAAAGTAAAGGTTTGATCCCGGATAACGAATGTGCAAGCCGTGCTACGCGGGAACGTAACGTATGTACATAAATCCGTGTCCGAAACAATGAGGTCAAACTACATTTTTCATCCGCGATATTATTCGAAGCAAAGTAATGTTACATTTCGCAGAAGAACGCCGATACCATTCCCTGTCGTAACAGCTGCAAGGCGGCGAACGGACAGCATGGATCGTGCTTCGTGATCTACGTTTTAATCTTGCAGCTCGATAGAAGAGAAGCATAACTCTGTTAACTGCTCGTTGAAGAATCGAACGTAATGGTTTGGAAACGCTGGACACAATACGTGCGATTGCCAATAGCGCGTTCATCGAAAAGTTATCGATCCTATTACCGGGTGCTATCAAAATTAATGGTCGTACATTTTTGCAAATACCACTAAGAGGGAGAACGAATCCGCCGAACGGTGGAATCTCGAAATCGGTTAATCTTAAACGATACACTTTTAATATGCACCCGATGGTCGATACTAATAAAATATAAAACATAGCGACGACAGTTTCCTCGCTCGCTGGCAGAGGGCTACGTTCAACCTGTATCTTTCTCACAAGCACTCGATCGACACGATGTAACGAAAACAAGGAATCACAGTGCTGAACGATTATTTTATTAAATCTGCTTCGTTGATGTACATTACGAATAGCAGCGCAAAATATAAAAAGTCTGTAAGGACACCTAAAGATACTTGTATAAAAACAGACAGTCTCGGTGTCGTAAAGTTAAAAACGATGACATTCATCGAACGAAGCCAAACGGGGGATATCTCGTTCAATCAAAGACGTTCAATCGTTCCAAGTGCAATATAATCTGTGTGAACTCTTCGTCGCTGATGTGCTCTTGGAAGGACAAGATAAGGCACGCGAAGAGAAACTTGTCGACGATATTTTCCGTTAATCTTTCGATGGATATCTCTGGATATTCAGATTTCACGCTCTCCGCGTACAACGCAAGGATCTCCTGCAGCTCCGTCGGTCCATTTTCACGCTTCATGTTATACAGTAGAATGGGTCCCAGATCGACAGCCGGCGAGCAGTACCTCATTGTTTGCCAGTCGATCACCTTCACGTCAATAGGTTTCCCGTTCTGGTATTTGAACAGCAGATTATCGTGTGAAAAATGACCGTGGCAGATCGTCGAGATCTCGTTCACCTCTGACACGATGCTCTTCAGAGTCTCTAGCGGGCTTTTGTTCAGCTTCTTTCTGACGTTTTCGGCCAACCTTGAATCCGGCAACGATTCGAGCGTGTCCATCAACCTGGAAAAACATTAACGAATTTATTCGATCATTTCGCAAGGCGACGATTAATCCCGGTACAAACACGAAATTGGGTACTCGTTATGCGATTTCGTGTACTGGAGGTTAAACGGTCGAATTGTCGGAGCGCAGATTTTCTAACAAACTGGCAATCAATCCAGCTGATTATTCCGCTCACTCGGCAGTAGCAATACAATGGTTATTGAAACCAATAACGTCGAAATTGCTGAAACGTAATGCTAAGCGCTAAACGTTATATGTCAAGCGATGACGGCAATTGCAACGCGTTCAACGGCGCACAATTCCTGCCGTTCGCAACGTTTCGAGTTCGTTTAATCGTATAACAGTTAATCCTACCGTCGTAACGCTAATTTAACTCCCAGCATCGTACGTCCCGCGGAACATGGAATGCTGTTTATTCAATCCTTAACTGGAATTACTAGCCGGAGTTAGTGATACTTAACTGGAATCAGGAAGATTCCACGTGATGTATCTCGCCCTCTGTTATCCTTCGTAATCGCTCGCCGCGTTCCCCGGCGATTTTAAGTTGTCAAAAACATTACGCGCGAAGACGGTCCGGAGTTTACCGAAAGGAAAGCGCATTACTATGCCAGGGCTGAGCTTTGTTGCCGGGGAAAGGGGGATGGTAGAAATAGATCGATTTTGAACCATGTTACCAATGAAAAATTTTATTAGTATGATTATGCAGGAAAAATTTTAATTGGTAATTCTAGAAGCCAAAGTAAGACGAAAATCAAGAATATCAATTTGTTGATTGAGGCTTCGTTAAAAAGTTATTAAAAAATTTCAAATCGTTCGCGGAAAAATTATTTTCGGTTGCGGGGGTAAATTACAATCATTTTTGGTGAATACACATACCCCCGAAATCTTACGTACTTTCGAGAAAAAAATTCTTTACCGAAAATATACTGTGCGACCGGAAATGTTTCTATAACTTTTTAACGATGTCTCGATCAACAAATTAGTATCAGTGGCATTAGTATTACAGTGGCCGAGCACTCTGTATACCTCCTAAAGAATATGAAATACACAATTATCTATCCGGGAATGCTATTAAAAATACACGTAAACATTGATATTTTCTTGTTTGCAAGGTGATTTATCATTCAATAATAGAAATTCTTCATAATTAATGTCAAGTATACTATAAAAATTATAAGATTATGGTTACGTAAGAGTAAGAATCGTCAACCCATTATGTTCGCAATAAGGAGCAATGTTTAAATGATTGACTAATTAGATTAAGGCAGCATGCGATAATTATCACCTCGACTCTACCTATACATATTTAGGCTAGTCTCGTAATACACTATATAATTCTCGCGAGTAACCTCTGTCACATATGGACGATAATGTTCATTTTTTAGTGCATATTCGTATAAAGAAATGAACTATGGACCATGAATGTTACATATATTTAAATCGATAATGAATTGAAATTAGTGAAAAACGTGTCGTTCGATAAAAAAAATCAAGATCACCTCCACTTAAGCAGAAATTTTTTTGCACAGAATCAATGAATCGGTGCATTCTATTTTAAAAATATGATTAGAGCAGCCTTTTAAATTTTCAATCGTGACATTATCAACGTTAAAAAATGTACACATGCTTATCTTCGTCGAGATAAAATGTATTAAAAGGCAAAAATGAACAAGTAGAAAGCAAACCCGTGTACAATAAAAAATTGGGGGAATTAAACGCTCGACATTTATTACGATTAAAAAGTCTGACGAGGCTTTGACGGTTTTAAATTGCAGCCAGACCGTTCCTTTTTATTTATTCAGAGTATAAATTGTCATTTGACACTGTTTTAATAACGAGAAAGAAAGGTCTCTGTATCCAATGGCAGTTCATGCTATAAATTAATAAAAACAAACTGTCTGACTCGCCTCAATCGCGTTAATTGAACACTCTAGTCTCCATTTTCGTTTGGCGACTGGCGACTTACTTATTTGTCTACAGACTGTTCCCTTTGTAAGTTTCGTCATGCAAATTGTCACCTGATAAATTTTAAACGTGGAACATAATTGAACAAAATATATTAAAGAAGACAAAACCACCTGTCGCAAACAAATAGCAATCAAAGCCATAAACACAAAAATATGGAATCAATTCGGACATAACCCTCCCTCAACACAAAATACACCGTAAATTACCTAGATACGATGCGACGTTTGCCTTCCATTAATAAAAAGAAAAAAAAATGTGTCCTCGACCAGAACTACACCGATCAAAACCGGAATCAGCGTGATTATTCATCATCCTTGACACCGTACGCTACAATACCGATTGTCATTTAAAAAAAAAACTCCGCGGCTCCACGTGGAAAATTACCTGTTCGATCTCTTTTCGTATTGCGCCATCGATTCATCGGTGAGAGCGATCTCGAGCAGTTTTGACTCGTATTCTCTGAAGACGTCAGGTTCCGTTGCCTTCAGTCTCAGCCCCCGGCCGTGAAACTTTCCCAAAACTTTCACGCACAATCTCAAACGGTCCTCGTCCAATTCCCCGTCCGCGGGCGCGTAATCGACCGCCTCCAGGTCGTCCAGGACAATAACGGGTCGCCCGTATCGGCCCAGATCGGCCAAGTAACACTTCGGGGAGAGATCGGTTCCGTACTTGGCGGTCATCTTCGAGTAGAACATCTCCTCGTTTTGGTAAGCGTCGAACGCGGTCCCCGACCGGTCCGTGTCCTCTGGTAGCATTTTCACCAGCAGCGGGAAGCCACGGGATTCACCGGAGAACCTGACGATCGCTTCCACGCGATAAATCTCGCTGGTGCGACTCAACTCGACCAGACGAACGGTGGCCGACTCGAACTCGACGAACTCCCGCGAATCCTTGTCGCAGAAGCAACGAGCGTGCACCATCTCCGGGACCAGTTCAGCCTCGATGAAATCGATGCTATGTTCGCGTGGCTCCTGGTACTCCATTCCGGCGTACGTCTCGGGGCGATTTACTGGAAGAAATAACGCTCGCGACGTGGAGCCGGCGATCAACAGGCGCGCGTTGTGCGTTCGAACACGAACGACTGCGAACCACTCGCGCGGGAAAGATGTGTTTGAGTGTCAGTCAGGGAACAACTAGGCCAGTGACGTGCACTGTCCCACTCCTCGATCGATCCCTCGGGCAGATATCATTGGAAACGCCGATAAGGTTCCTCGATCTCGTACAGCAGGTGAGGCGATCCTCGTCGAGATAAAAATAATCGTTAATTATGTTCTCTAGAGTTTATGGGTGTTTGCAAAATTCTTAAACCTCGTGTCAATAACCGGGGGCGTTCTTCAAGTATTGCGAAACCGCGTTGAATCCCCATTCTTTGGAAAATGTAGCTTGAAAAAGAACTAGTAGATTTTAAATATGGCGCCCTGGGATCTCTCTATGCACCATCGACTACATTTGAGCAAATACTGACAGAAGCGTATACATAATAGTTAATATAATAAGAAGCAAAGGAAGACATAGTATGGGGAGGAAAGACTCGAAAGTGTTTACTATTTACCGTAATTTCCGATTTTTGTTGTTGTGCTGTTGTCACAAATATTTAGACTCTCGCTAAGAACAACGGTTCGGTCGCTGTAAATAATATCGACGATTTGAATTCTGTTCGAAGGAAACGATCGAGATTATCTAGAGGGGTATTGGACCGGATGCAAACGCGTGTCGAACCACTCGAGATAACGCGGTGTTTATCGATAACCTCGACGAGCCGATGCGAGAGTTGCGACGAGACGGGCGTTAGTTAGTAACGCGGTGAAAATATTCTAAAGAATCATCTCGTGTGTGTATCAGTGCCCCTTACGTCGCAGATAACGAACCTTTTATCTTCCAACGACGTCACGAACAAGTTTATGCTCGGCCTTGACCACCGAAGACGGTCATCGACATCTCCCCAGCAGTCTCGTCCGTCGTTAGAATTTGTACAAGTTTGCGGATCCAATGATTCATCATAGTATCTTAGACCATGATTCATAATAGTAATAAGCAAAGAATTAAATGAAATTATATAGGGAAGGATCGTCAATAATTTTCCGCCATTTTACAAGACTCGAAAAACTTCCTCCAATCCGTTCCGTGATATAAATTCTCACGAGAAAATCATCTAAACGCAATCTAAATCGCGAAGGATTGCCCGTACCACGAAACGTCGCTTTACAAAAACGAGTACACTTCTCCAACTCGATTAAATTCAGCGTAACGAGCGCGTTACGTGTCGCAGCGTGCTGTTTCGTTTAATTAATTAAGTAAATCACCGAGTCGAGATCAATGCTGGCGAGCTGCGAGCCAGGACGGAAAATTAGATAATGACGGTGCAGCTAGGGACGCAGCAATTATAATAATAAGGAAATCTTCTGGGACGCGGCTTGTTGAGGTTCATGGGACATCACGGTACGAAGTAGCTCAAAAAGGTCTTTGACCTCGTTCCGACGATGTTCAGAATGCCGGGACAAAGTGATTTTAATTCTAACATTTGGGTCGAGTTAGATGAATTCGAGAATGGCTCCAAGTTTGTTCCGTTGTTGCTGTTGATTGCATCCGTGTATTATAATTATATCATTGCACCTTCTTCGACCGAACAAAACGTGGCATTAGCAGCTCCAAAATGATTCACGAAATCATAAGGCAACATTTACTTATTTTTATTACATTATTCGTCCCTATCGAAAATTGTATATTCGGTACGATTCGTCAATCGTTTCAGGAATCTCCATAAAAAAAGAACGACTATTTTCTTCGTGAATATTGCAGAGACCACTTGTCCAATTACACTCACAATGCACTTTGATCGTTTTCAATTTCTAACGAAACGTTTCGCGCAACGACCGGGGCAACTAATCGAACAATTATTTCGCCGTATCGCTGCAACTTCAGGCAACGACAAAGTGAAATGTACCAACAAGTTCCACCCAACCCGTAAACCAATCCCAAATCCAACAATCCCTTCAGGCTTTGGTAATTCAAAATTCTAAGTGACAGGACCGCGCGCAGATTGCCAAACGGAACCGATACAAACGTCGCGAAATCAAACGCGACACGGAAACGACCACAAACGCCTCGTTCGTACGCCGCCGCAAAAAGGACGAACACGGGCCTAACCTGTCTCATCGATGATTAATATACCCTACAACGCACCCCTGATGGCGCAGATTACGCCCAGCCAGAACATACCAGTGCAGACTAATCAGAACAATTTCCAGACGTTCCAACAACCGCAAACAGCCACGCAACAAATGCAAACTAACCCTTGCGTTAATCCACAAGGTATTAACGCCTGCTGCGAAAGTTATTAACAGCTACTAAAGCAAAATAACGACTCCGATAACGGCGACTTTAATTACCGTAAGGCAGGCACTTGTACAGTTTAGTCCCCTTCGAACCACTGCTGAAGAAACGTGTAATATTTTCGAACGTCGAATAGGTCTATGTCAGTAAATTTCTAACTGTGAGGATCTAACTGTGCCTTTATCGTTCCTTTTTGCAATAAAAATAAGTTCGGTGCCCCCAAAGATTCGTACAGATTATTATTTTACTGCAATCGATAGCTTCGTGGTATTGTTCGATAGTACACATAGCGAATGTATATTTTTCTCTTCACAGTGTAGACACCACTATACGGTAAATCCTCGCTAATCCGGATGCCGGAAAGTCCGCTACTGTTCATACTTTATTTCCCAGTTCTGCAGAATATAACATTGATATAGAAATCAATTGTACGAGTTCAAAAATATCCTATCCTTTTTTTAGTTTTCAAATTAAGGATTTACTGTGAAATCTTTTAATTTATTTCTACTCGAATTATTATTTAATCCAGATTGTCGACCTTCCAGCTATAAAAATTCTAAGACCTTGTTAGGCAATAGATAGAATCGCGTGTAAAATTTGAGGAAGGTCAGGCTTATATTTTCTTTAAAGGAATTCTGAAAGATGACCCATTTTTCGAAGTGCTAAAGTGAGAAGACTCCTTAACGCGTTGACTACCATGTCATCCGAATATGGATGACACCTAAAATCCACACGGGGCCACGTCACCCGAATACGGATGGCGCTCATATTTTACCGTGTCACGCATGATATTAGTCTGTATTTCTGTCAGAGTCTGAGAGGCATAACAAAATGATAATAATTACTAAAATGATAAATACAATTTACAGAAAACTTTTTAACACATTGACTGTCATTCGATAATCGTATATTACTCGATTAAGAGTAAATTTACCACAGTAGCTCCACGAATATCGAATAAAAATAATAAAGTTATCTTCCTTTTTCAGTCCGAGAACGTTTATGTAATCGTCGTAAAGTTTGATTTCTGATTAGTTGCTACCGCGTGTGAAACATGGATTTCTTAGTTTACATTTGAAGAGGCTAAGATTAGATTACCAGTAGCGTTGAGTGCACATGGATTAATATACTAGTGCATCCAAACGCAGTCAATCGTTTCATGATACAATCAGAAGCACGACTAAGCCAATAACAACAAGTTTCCCAAGAAATATTATTCTTCTTTGTAAACAATAGGCTGTAATGGCTAGATCGCGTATTCAGGATGACAGTCAACGTGTTAAATTTCAAACAGCATCGATGCAGTTGTTAAACCAACGACACCGTCACGCGTACGCTTTCGTACGTAGATTCGTACAAGCAGCCGTTCTATCAGCTCCATCAGGCGGACGTGTTCTTCGCGAATCATCAGTACATCCCGAACGTATTGCCCCAGAGAAACCCGTACCAACCAGTTCTCCAACCATCCAACGTCCCGCCGGCGATGCAAATGCAGCCAAACTACGGCCCCCTACCGCCAAACATCCTCGAACAGATTCGCGGTTGCGTCAGCAACGCGGCTCCCATATTTATCCTGCCAGGTGGCTGTCATCAGTCCACAAATCATCATCAGCAACCATCCCCGGTGTGTCCGGCGAGTCAAGTAGGCGTGGCCCAACCGACAGGACAATCGACAAGCTTCAATTATCCACCGTCAATCTCCTGTCCGCCCTCCTTCTATCCGTATCCGATTCCCCTTCCGATTTACGAGCCGTGTATCGGTCAGACGCGCGGCAAGGACAGATCTCAAAGTTGCGGATGCTGCCGCCGACGGCAGGGATCCACGGAATCGAGCAACTACCCGTTAAGTTGCTGCTGCGTCGTCAACGAACCCGAGGAGCATCACTGCGGACCGACCAACGACGACACCATTTGCTCCAAGCGAAATTGCCCGGCCTCCATCAGTTTACAAGCTCTGGCGTCGCAGTTCCTGTCGCTGCCCGGGATCATATCCTGTGCAGCCACCCGACTGATCCTCAGGAAAGTGCCCGGCTCGAATATCACCAGCACTATGGAGGACACGATGGACAAGGCGCAGAGGTCCATCAGCGTGCTGACCAAGGAACAACTGCTCGCTGAGTCTAGGATCGCTCAGCAAGTGAACGCGTTGATCAACCTCCATATGACCACCACACCGCCTGTAAACATCATTCCTCTGCTCACGCTGCTACAGCTCAAAGTGAACGTTTTGAAGGCGCAGGTCGAGACCCTGATCAACAAGAAGGTGATGGAGTGCCAGGGATACGGATTCGAGGTGGGATTTCAGGATTTCGAATATCTTACTGTTCGACGAATATTCAATTTTTATTTAACCGGTTCTTACAAACCTTGGAGACAGAGTTTTCGTGGAAACAATTTCTTTTTGATTTCATCATTATTACTTTTTTAATCTCGCAAAGATACTAAAGCCAGTAACACGTTAAACCCGATATATTTTTGTATCATTTACTGTGCTTTGCGTAATCTTGCAAGGTAACATTGTGGTTCTGCTTGTTTAACATAAAACATGCGGCTGTGATCTTATTTTACAACACAAAAAGATTTAGATAACAATTCGCATTGTTATCTTGCGACACACGCGTCTCGTATTTTCAACTTTTAGCCCAAAAAATGTGGAATGGAATTATAGCCATCCTCGTACGATTATTCGAGGATCAAGAATTCCTAAGGCAAAGAACATACTCTATCAGTCTCTCCAAGTATTTCGATGTTTTCCCCAATTCTCCGTCAATTATTCTCGACAAACTTGGTCGCCCTTGTTATTCCTGCGATCTTCGATCCTTTCACGTATTTTTCTTCCATCTCAAAAACCATGTATACTCGCCCCCTCTAGCGTCGCGACGCGCCAAAATCATTCCAAAGTCTGTCTCTTCGTTCCTTCGATGCGTCCGCGTGCATAGTCGGGCCAGCAACGCAATTAAGATAACAACTTTTTATCGTCGTGCGCCACGTCGTAGCACGAACCAACAATTTCCACCGTCGAGGAAAGGGTTGACGTCTGTAATATTATCAAAACACGTTCTTCGTCGACATCAAACGGCGGAACGACGTTTACGGCGGGCCTCATTTGCATTTCGCCCGCATTCACTGGCACGATGCGTTCCAGGTAGAAACCAGCGAGCCGATAGATCCGGCGGTGCTTGCCCTGAAAACCAACGCTGAGCTCAGGCAGCTGTTGTCCGCCCTAAGGCAGAAGGAGTGCGACGAGAGGCTGAACGTGAACTTCTCGCCTTACCACTCCCAGCGTGTGATCGCGGAGGCGCGTCTCAACTCCGTGCAGGCGAAGATACGCCAGGTAACATCGGATCTCCCACTATTAATAGTGGAAGTAAACGTTCGAAGGACCCTCGAATCTCTCTGCACAAAATGACGCACAGAGTGTCCCCGTATAGATGGAAAACAAATAAAAAATAACGTATTGAATTGGTAATGGCAGGTGGAGGCCGAATTCGAGAACAGAAGATGCGTTCCGATGACGGTTCCGACGATCAGCTCGCGCGTCATCCAGCAGTTCGCGGAAGCTCGTTGCACCTTCGGTTACGCCCAAACCAAACTGTTCGAACCGTACACGCCAGAAAGCATTATTGAGTCTCCGGATCCTTTCGGGCCGAGCCCGCGTAACCCCAGGAGGTTGTACATACAGCCTCACGTACCAGAACCGCCAGCACCGCAGGGAAAAGACCAGAGCAACGGGACCAGCGGCTCTCAGGACGCTCCGTCCACGTCCCAGGACAAAGGAACCGGCGAAGGAAGCACGGATGACACCAGAGATCGATCGGTAGGTCGAAGATGCAGCACCACCGACAGCTGCAGCTGCGACAGAAGCTCGTCGGAGGAAAGCGTCGACGGGGATAAAAAAAAACTTCGACCGAGGATTGATCGGACGGGACACGCGAGGATAAGTAGCGCGGCCAGATTGAAAGACGCGTCCTTGATGAAATTGGCGGCGAACGTCGTAGCTGTGATCGACGTGGAACAGCTTGTTGAGGAGGATCCTGATCCTGCTACTCCGGACAACGAGGATGCTGCTGGTCGAGGATCGTTGATAAGTCTAGAGACTCCTAAGGAAAATTTTAAAGACGAAAAGACCCGCTTAAAGATCACAGGGGATTCTGGGAGAACAAAGGACGCGAAACAGGATTTGAAACGTTTTACGAACGACAACTCGAAAAAGGAAAAGAAATATGGCGAAGACAGAGAACCGATGGCGAAAGACAAAGTTAAAAGTGAAGGGACTAATAAAGGGAAGTTGATAATTGAAGACGGTAGTAAGAAGTCGAGTATCTGGAAGAGGTTGCGGTTCGAGTCTAAAAAAGTAAAGACAGAGCCCGGGAACGTTAAAGCATCCAATTACGTAGAGCTTCCAATTAAAAGAGAAGAACTTGAAGAAAATGGGAATAACAAGGCGTTAAAGGAGCAGAGCGAACCAAAAAGTATCGAAAGTGTAAAAAACATGGAAACTGATGTCGCAAATAATAGAGATTACACTTTGAATAGGGCGAACATGGTTGAAAATGGCGAGAAAATGAACGTGCAGATAGTTTCGATGGTGACCAATATTAAATACGATAGACACTTCGGTGATTTTGAAAGATGGATGATAATAAACGAGTTCGTCGATGAGAGGATGGAGGATCGATGCTGGCGAAATTCTTTGGACGAGTCTTTAAGAGACACCAAGGAGGAAAACAAGACCGACGGGAATTATACGTGTCTTATTTCAGAGAAGATCGATGCCTTGGTGCTCTCTGATGATCGAGGATGCGAACGAAAGGCGGAGGTGATCAGTTTGAACGAAGAAACGCATTGCAACGAAACGAACTTTCCGAAGGATCGTCGATTAAACGGTGAGTATATAATCGGGGTGAGTTTTAATATTGAAATCGAAGGCAAACATAGCCGCAATCAATCGACTAATTTCACTCAATTAATTACTCGATTAAGCGATGCGATTGAAAATTTAGTCGTCGCAAGTAATCTCGATTAATTTATTCGAATAATGAAACAAATCTCTCGCAACGAGGAAAGATCAAAACAATTGTTAGGTGTCAAAGACAATTGACGTATTGACAATGGTTGATCGTTCACGACGATTGCCAATTGAAGTAATAAAAAAAAAATACGAATAACCAAAATATGATCTGCAGATGAGAAAATGGCGGAAGAGTTCGAACACTTTCCCCCGTTGAAAAACGCAACACCGAATACAGGAACGCCGTCGAACGGTATTTCGGAAAATATATTCCATCGGAAAGAAATTGAATCAGGCTCCTCGAGGATCGTTTGCGATAGGAGCACCTCTTATGATCGCGGTACGAAAGAGAAGAGCATTATTTCCGCAATCTACTGTATGATAGAAAATCAGCTCGACACTTTCAGCTCGTTCCTGGGTAATAATATATCGAATTTACAAAACTTCCTATTGAACTTCTACTTTAAAAAATTATGCAACGACGATGTTCCTTCAAATCAAGGAAACGTCAATAATGTGCAACAAAATAAAACTTTAATTTCGCGAAAAGATGGTTGGATATTGCTTCCTATGGTCGATGAACGAAACATTGCCAATAAAAATTACGTTTTTGTTGGCGACGAGTGTTGGAAAGCACGCAAGATAAAACACTCGATAATCGAGGACAGTGAGAATAAAAATTACGTGTTCATAAACGGATCGATTAGTCGATTACGGAAACTATCGAAAAACGATCTAAAGCAACCGTACAAAGTTCGTAGAAGCTTAATAATAAGAAGTCGATTAAAAAATCCGGGAAATTCACATCACGAATATTCGTCTCCTGTTACTATTTTTAAACGATCCAAACGAAGCAAGATATTCACAACTCGGGCATCGACGAAATCGACGAAACAAAAGTTCAAATTTACCCAGAGATTTTGTTCTTTACCGGATACCTCGAAATACGTGAAAACATTAAGAACAATTTCTCTGTGCGACCAAACTGATTATAGCTTACGTAACAGACAACGGAATAGATAGCTTTATAGTACAGGGAAAGATAAACATATAGTCGAACGAATATCACGATTTTATTAGCGTTTGGCAGTAAAAGTATAACATTGAAGGTTAAATGGGAACATAATGACGTAAGGACAGATAAATTTATTACAATTGTCACATTTTTCGTGCAAAATGAAATTCTCTTCAACGAATCGTTCTGTTTCGAAATCATGTCTCCGAACATCGAAAGTATTTTTAATCGCTGGGTGGCTTTTTGGAAGACCCAGTAGTAATTACAGCGCAAAATTCGTATGTGTGCATTTGGACAGTGTGATTTGCAACATGTGGACGTAACGAAAATTAATTCAACACGCAGAGATAATAAAAATAGTTAGTGCAAACATTTATCCTACCTGGCTCTGTATACGACTTATAAATATTCATAGAGTCTCAACAATCTTGCAAAGTAATTTAAACCCTTGTGTATGACCCCATGAACCATGAATATTTATAAAATTTGTGCAAGTTAGGATAAAATAAATGACTGCTGATGACCACTGTTTTTAAGTAACTTAAATATCTCATAGTTAAGGAGCTGGCCTCGAACCAGGTATAAAGATAGATGAATAACTGTAATATAAAATCTCGAAGACAAGATCAGTTACGACAAACGTTTGTATAAACTTTCTTTATTATTACTGTTGCGCGTCGAATGTATGAAGTTATGCCCATATTTTGTAAAACAGCCTGTATGTCAGTAGACGTTTGAAGAACATTGCCGATACGTGAGTCACACATTTGTCTCGCAGTCGGAAATAATTACAACCGATGAGCAAATGCAGTGTACCTTCTTCTTCTTCTTCGTCTTCTTCTTTATTATCCATTAATTCACTTCGTTAACTGTTATTATATCTGGCCGTTCGAGCCAGTTTAGTTATCGCTAGTAGCCTGCCTACTGAGAATCTTTAGAATTATAGCGTAGTAACAACGCGACCGTAGTCGAACTATTTGAACACTCTCGGAATCGTACAGATCAGATTTTGGAGGCCAAACTGAAAATCCTTAACGCAACTCGTCTCGCGTGCATTTTTTCAATCGCATTCATTCAGTCATTCGACGCAATCTGTTGAACGTGTCAGATCAGATATACCCGTACATCGTAGGTATAGTTAAACTCGCTCGATCCATGGTTACCGTGTAATTTGTTATTCAATATATATATATATTAAATTTCTTACATCCTATAATAGATTTTACGTGAGTAAAAAATAAACAAATTCAACACACTGGTCACATTCAGAAGACTATAACGCCGTTGTGTAACAAAGACTCGCGTGTACATGCTGGATTACACAGGACAATATGAAGTAACCATTGTCAACACACCACACTCGTAACACGATGCTGCCTATAAGGATATAACGAAATAAGATTTCGATAGTTAGCGTAGAAAACGTAAGAAATATGAAGCATGGGCAGCGTTGACGTTAGATTATGGATTAATTCCTGAACGCAAGTGTTCAGAAGTGATGTATTTGCACACGAATCGCAAAAAACTTCGTAACGCAAAAATGGAGGCTATGAAAAATCGTCGAAAACGTTAGGTACTGATTAGAGCCATATACATTATGTTACATAATAATATACCATCGAAGTTATTAACGGACTATACGCTTATATATACGCTACATACTTATACAGCTGCCTGCTGCTACTTTCAAACTACAATCGGATCAAAATTAACTGACCGCCTGAAGTTACTCCGTTCTCCTCGCCATTTTGAAATATGATCGTTTGATAGTTTGAAACGGCCAGTGGAATTTGATTCGATCATAGAAACGTGTTCAAAATCAAACCTGTTTCTATCAAAGTACAAATCACCGTGTTTGTTAACGGGCGAACTATTAGTCTTCTCTTGTAGTCTTCTCATTCTAGTTTATATTTTACCTGTCCTCTTGTATTCTCGGTGTCAATAACCTGTCGCAGCTGATTCCCAATCCGTAACTATATTATGGCGACGCGCATTGCCATTTTCATATTCCAACAAATCTTCAAGTATATACGACTATGATAACAAAATTTAAAACATGCTCCATTCAAACGCGAATTTGAATAAATATTTTCGCTCGAAGGCGAGAAACTTTATACCGATCTATACCAATTTACAGTTTTTCCAATAACACGGGAAATTTCATCTTATAATACTTTTTTCACTTTTTCCATTTCATTGGGATCTCTCTAACCTCTATGAATAAATATTCTTAGTCCGTTATAACTGTTGGAAAAGTATTAAATAAGTCATGGGCTCCTATATTACAGAAGAAAGATGCAATAACACGAAAGTCTAAGATTTAATTACTTTAAATATATATATTTATATATTTAATATATCTGAGTTTTCTATCATTGCGTTACGTGGTGCAATTGTATATGGACATTTGATCGCTGTGTAAATTAGTCATCTTAAAAACTACGAACAAAATTATGGACAATTCTCGATATTAAGTCTCCTAACCAGTATCAACTTTACTCCAAATATTCCTTTCGCGATAGTCGGATATGTACAAAAGTATTTACAGATACATTTACACTACTAATATATATATTTATATATATATAGTCAAATATCTCGCGGGACAACTTAAATAAATCCGTATATAATGGTTGCAATAATTTAGTTAAAAATTAATACTTCACTATGACGAATCTTTGATTAAAGAACTTATATAACTAACAAGTACTTGCGATCTACAATTAGCTGCTCTCGAATAGGTATGAAGATCTCCCGAACCGCTGACGGTAAAAATATCTAATTTTTTTTTTCCATTTCTACTGTTACACGTAAGTGAAAAAATTCTAATATCCAACCTTACAAGTTTAAGTCGAAAAGATTATTGTATAGTAGATATCCATAGAGACTAATTATTTTGTTTTTTTTTTTTTTTTTCTTTAAATTCAGTTCACTGTAAGGCGCTTCTTACACCTGGAAACATTTCTCGAGTCTTAACGCGACGAAAATTATGTAAAAAAAAACCCCGTTGTTTACGCAGCTTTGCGAAAATTGTTGTACTCCCCTCCAACGAAACGTGACTACAAAAGGAATTAAGTAACGGACAAATATGTCACATAAAAGAAATTAAATTATGAATTTTTTCCCAAGTGTTACCTGAATTTCGGATGTACAAGTTGAATTTCTTTTTTCTTTATTCGTGAACTTCAACTTGGCCAAAGGCACGATTGACGTAGATTAATGTATGTGCAAAATATTCTCATATACACACAAAAGAAAAAAAGAAAAATTAAACAGACTCCGTCTTTAAGAAATTAAAGTAACAATAAATATAAGCGATGAGGACACTACTTTTGTACAATAAAAAACATTGCATTCTCTATAGAAAGTATTTGGAGCTAATCTCTCAGCTCCATGATCGCAAAAAATGTATCGTTTCGGAAACGCCGATTCCGCATTTTGTCTTTTCTACATCGAATCTAAGAATAATAAGTAGCATTCTTTTAATTCACACCTTTGGTGTATTCAGCTTTCAGTTGACCCAACACTAATTTTATATCGTAAAAAGTAGGTCGCTTTTCAGGTTGTAAGTCCCATGCCTAACAAAGATCATTCGATTACTTATAATTGACCAGCACAATTATGTTCTTTAAGTGGATACTATCATACGTACTTGTCTCATAATATCGTAAACTTCGTGCGGACAACCATCTGGTGGCTCCATTTTGTATCCTTTTTCCACGCACTTTACAACGTCGGCTAATGGCTGAAATCAGAAGAAAGAGGCCGCCGTTGTGAAGAACGAAAGAGAATACTCGGGAAAGAGCAAATCTAAATATGGTACTCACAATTCGTGGATATGGTACACGTCCGAAGGAATAGATTTCCCATAAGAGTATTCCAAAACTCCACATATCAGACTTATTTGAAAACTTCTGGAAACAGAAATTTTCAATTACGTTCACGAGTGCCGCGATATTTGGCAAAAAACTGACAATGAGAAGGAAGGGACTCAAACTTTAAATGTAAGTTACAGTGGACGGAAAGTGCAGAGTGGGGCATATGCAACCCATGCGAAATCGAGATAAGCTATCGATTCGGCGAACGAAAAAATCAATTCAACTAGGGGAAAGGGTTTCGGAAATAAGAAACAAGAGATTCTCTTAGTCTCGTCGTTACTTTTATTGTCGAGATTTTGATATTATTTTACATTCTACCGAAACGAAACTTGGTTCTACGTGCCCCGAAATGCAAACACCATTGAACAAAAGCCCGTTTCAACGAATGGTGTACTGTCTTTTCAAACTGTTCCGAAGATCTTCCCAAGTGAACGGTTTCGCTCGCCGGACTTTAGTTATCTCTACGTTCTACATGTACACCGAGTACTTACATACTGCTTTAAAGCCTCTGGTGCGGTCCATTTGATGGGCAGCTTGCCGCCCTCGAGGGAAAAGTTCTCGTCCCGTGCCAGCCCGAAGTCGGACACTTTGGCAGAGTTGTCCTCCGCGACGAGAACGTTCCTCGCGGCCAGATCTCTGTGCACTACGTGCCTGGACTCCAAATACGCCATGCCAGCGCACGTGTCGCTGAAACAGAATGGAAGGCACCTGTATTTACAATCGTACCGCGTCAGAGAGCGGGCAATACGTAATCTGATTATATTTTCTTTAATCAGATCGCATTTTGCCGAACTCGGTCCCTCGTGAACAGGAGAGTAGAAGCATCGGCTACGTACTACGCGAAATTGATCTGATCCTTCTTGGAAACGTGCAATCTCCCCCGTGATCTCAAGTAATCCACCAAGGACCCTTTGCTCATATACTCGGTAACCAGGTACATGTGTTGATTATTGAAAACAAGACCGAGCAGCTTGACCAAATTGTCGTGGATCAGCGACGTCATCAGGCTCGCTTCGGCCAGAAACCTTTGCGCAGCCTCGCTGTTGTCCTTCAGCATCTTGACGGCGACCCTCTCGCCTCTATAAACGCCCAACAGGACGTCGCCGAACTCCCCCTTGCCGATGCACTCCCTCAGCTCTAGCTCGTGGGTCTGTATCACCCAGCCTGCCTCCATGAACGCCTTCGGGTCCACGCAGAAGTCCTGCTTACCCTTTTTCGGCAACGACTTCGTCAACTGCGTGCACAATCCGTCGGCGTCCTGCTCGTAATGCTCGACCAGCAACGCCAGATTCTCGAAGAACTCCTCGTCGTCGAGGGTCAATTGATTGTTCTTGTATTTCACTCTGTAGTGTTGCACGCGGCCTTGGTAGCACACGCACAAGGTATAGTCGCCGGGGAAATTCGTCGACTCCCGGACTAGGAACAGACCGTCTTCTCTCGGTCGCAACAACGTCTCGGCAGTTTCCCGCGATATTTTCCCGTGGAACCATCTGCAATACGGTGACCAAGGTGATTGTAGGGCGTGTAACGTTTCATCTGGTCGACGTGAAACGATCGAGGTGAGAATCTTTGGATCTTGAAACGTACACTGCCGCTCAAAAGCCTTAGGATCGCCTGATCGCTTTAACGAAACTCCAGTCCCCGGCGTAGACAACCGATTTTTTAATGTAGGTTATTTGAAACGAGAACGATCGATGTACTTTCACTCGTTGAATGCGTATTCGAAATCTTCACTGAGGATCTTCGAAACTTAGCTAGGGACGATCTTTACTTGTTCGTAGGCCACAAAGCGAACGTGCATCGATCCGTCTTAAGAACTAATCCGCATTTAGATAGCAGCGTGAAACGTTTAAAAATAAATTTAAACTGTGTTATTGAACAGGTGCTTGGTATATTCTCGCGAGACAATATAATTGTCCTAAAAGTTTTGAGCGACATTGTATTCTGTAGTTATCGAGAGCATCAGTATTTTACCGAGTGAGGCATCTCACGTTATCACCTCAGAAATCTCCGGTTTCTTTTAACAATAAATTTCCTCAGAAATGGTAAATATTATGATCAGCAGATTACTCATTCCAAGGTTATACTCGATGAGATTTCAAAGAATACTTTTAACGTATAAAATGCCTCACTGCAGCGGTTCTCGAACATTTTATACCGATGCCCCCTTTTTTCTGAAAAGAAAAATTATTACCCCCTCCTAACATTTTTAGCAAATTATCTTTGTAAAATTGAAAAAGTTTCCTGGCAGTACGTGATTATACACTGGGTCAAAAAAATCTCCATACATTCTTTCAGAATTTCTTAACAAATTTATTAGTTTATTTATTACATTAATTTGGAGGAAAGATTCTTTCGTCAAAATAAATAAATTCGCGCGTAAATATTGCCCTGGCAAAAGGGAATCGTTACATTTCTTTTAACGCTTTCACTACATTTCTATTCATAGTTCTATTTTATCTATTCACTGATATCTTACATCCTTAAACGTTTTACCGCATATGATTCATAGCATTATGAAACAATTACGTACGTATCAGGAGTATTACGCTGGAAGAGAGCCCAAGTAAAATAGTTAAAAACGTTATTAGAACAAAGCTTTCAAATGTATAAACTATAGAATCCTTTTTAACTTCATCCCACTCCCTTGTAGAATGATTTCGATACATAAAGATATAATTCCTGTGCCATATGAGCTCGAACGGATAACTGGAAAACGTGATGCACGAGTCTCGAAGTTTAACGTGTTAAAGTACATAAAACAACGATTCCCATACTGTGTGTTCCGTGGAACAATAGTGTCCCGCGCAATGTAAAGAAGCGTTCCGCCAGAAATCCTAATTAATAATTGACCCTGGTACGATACAAACAGTGGTTTTATTTTTTAAAAGTTTTCCCAGTTAATACAACTACGCCTATCGATAAAAACAATCGGTACGAGTGGTTGACATGCACGTTGTACAGGAATTATTTGTGTATCGCTACCATTCCGATGGGTGATATAAACAAAATTCAGAAGAAAAAACAAAAAAATAGCGATCTATGGCTAAAGACCGATCTGTTATCAACGCGTCAAGGAACAAATACGTACGGCATAGCGTTCAGTTTGACCTCGTGCCTCGGATTCGCCGATAACGCAGCGGGATTGCTAGGATTTGTGACGTTCGAAGTGAGGATTACCGGAGGCGTACCGGCGTTCATGTGACTGGTTATGTTTGGAGCGATGACGTTCGGATGCGTAGTCATTGTCGGTGATACTGGATGGGACGGAATGTTACTTGCAGACAAGTTGGAAGGAACGTTGTGTTGCGGTGTGTTTTGTAGAAGGGGATGGGACGTTACGTTTGAGGGGATCGTATGGTGATTTTGATTGCCATCGAGCTTTGCTTGCCGCGCTGGCGCTGACACATTCGGATATCCGCCACCCGCATTGTGATACGTTGGCATCGCAACTCCCGCGGTGGCCTTTGCGAACCTGCAAACGACAACATCTGTTTAAGTACTGTTACGTCCTACGTTCAATTAGTCATTTTGTAACACGTTTCGCCGCCCCGTCGGTCACCGACACCGTTTGGCTTCATTAATAGTCCATTACCACTTACAAGGAACATCCGCGAACTGTAACCTACACTCCCCCCCACTCCAGTCCCGATGAATCTACGCAGGTTCGTAGAGCGGCCAAAAATATATTTTTTTTTTTTCAGCCAGGGTAACTCGAGCTTAGAGAACGAAACTAACTTCCAACGTCTCGTCTTTCAGTTTTATGGAAGAGGATTTTAAAAACAAAAATTAAAGTAAACAGATCACGTTTACCGTCGTTTTTTGACGAATAAGGTAAACTATTTTCATTTTCTCTCTTCAACGAGAGACGAATAACTCTTTTGTAGAATACATACTTTAGGAGGTATCAGAGATGGACGAGTTGCACGACTCGCCCTGTCTATTCGAACGCTTGAACCGTACTAAACAGTGGCAACATTTCAGCTATTTGCGCATTACTGTATTGCATTACATAATTCCTACCAGTGTAATTTATTATATGACACTACATATCATAAATAGGAAATTAGTATGTTATTATTTTTACTAACGAGCTGCAATCGCGACAAGTGGATGTTACAAGGATGAATAAACCAATTTAGACGGTTATCATAATTTGAAAAAATGTAAAAAAAAATCAGTATCCTTTTGGCCGTTCTACAATACTGCATAGTTTCATCAAACGGGAATGGCATTTCGTGAATGTTCTTTGATAAAAGTATGTGAATCTACAACTACGAATGATAAGCAATAAAGGACACAGGGTTTGTGGAAATTAATATCGCAATGGATTTGTACTGGATGCGTCATGCAATTGGTATCTATCTTACTTCCTGTTTCGTTGAATATGGAAATTAATGGCAGAGGAAACATTTGAATAGTATAACGAGTACTATTTTCCTATGACCTTGGTTTTTGCAGGTGTGCATCGATACATATGCAAAGCACAACTGCACTTGTTTTTGGATCGATTCTCCTCGATATTCTGCGCGCAAAAGCACCTCAAGTGTTCGAGAAACTTATACCGCGCTTAATCCCCTTTGCGACGGACACAAATTAACAAACTTAACACACAAAGTGACGAAACTGTGTGGTTCCGTTTAAAAAGAAAAATGCAATTGCGCTTTGCAGGTCCATGGACGCAGTTTCTTTTTAAACGAGGTCACACGAATATAGACCTTGTTATACCATTTAACTTCGGTCTCTATCATTCTTTTCTATCTTCGAACGAAACTGAAGGTCGGTGCAATTGCGTGACGCACACCGTGTGTAACGTGTATTCTGAGAAAGGAGACTGAGCCGCAACGAAGTTAGGACAATCAAATACATAACACAACTCTGCTCTAAGCGTATTAATTTACGAGGAAAATATTTATTCCTCCTCGTTTGATCCGTAACGTACGTGGGCTGCTAGTTATTCTTTCTCCATTTAGACAAAATATCAAACTTTAGGAATGGAGTAAAGAAGATTTATTTAAACGCAATATTTCATTTGAATAGAGTCTGTTTAGAGACCAATTAGTAGATTACCAACGAGTGGCAAAAGAATTGGAAACGTTTATATATAAACTAATACAGTGATGAGAGTGAAACCGGTTCAGTGGCGAGGGGAAAAAATCAGTTAACGAGTGAATACTGCAACGAACATTTAAATTTCCATTTTTCGATTCGAACAAACTTTGATCGCTTCGACATCGACAGTTTCACGCGTACTAAAAATCGAGTACTATCGACAAAGTGTTTTAAGGATATTGATATACTTCCACAGCAAGGCTAATCAAACGTAACCAGCTTAGGTTGAGACGCAGTATAGTCTGCGATCCACATTAACGCGAAACGAGATGTATCGTCAACTGATACGCGGACGAAGGAGTAAAAAAGAGCACGGCTATCGTGTGTCTCAAAGACAAAATCAACGCTGGAACCACATGCCCCCTCGGACCAAGTCCCCCACGATGGAGTGGATCTTTATGAGCGTTACTCGAGCAACCAGATATCTAAAGCACGCTCGCGGTAAATGCTGGCTCCAAAACATTCTTGATAAGTTTCAGTTACAAAAACTGCGTACGAGAGATGAAAGGAAGCGCGAGACGAGTCGGGCATATTCGCTGCTCGATCGATTCGACTCGACGAACGTTTTATTTCGTACTCTTAATTTAATGGGCAAGCAAAGAGGAAGCGATCCATTATACAGCGACGGTCGCTTAAACTGTAAGATATCGATTTTATTTTGGTTCTATATCGGTTACGGTTCTAGTATCCGTTCTATTTCAATTCTGTTGATTGAAATGTTTGAAGACGAAAGAATAAACCGAGCCACGGTTCGACTTATAAAAATAGCAAATTGATATTTTAAATTAATTGTTCGAGGATCGAAAGAAACGTGAAACTGAAACTGACGATGTACGATGCGATATTTCATGCCAAATTAAGTGCCCCCCTTGAGAGGTGAGAACATGTACGAAAATACAACGAGAAACGTGTCTTAATAAAAATTTATGAAGCAAAACGACCGCAGTGCATACAGTCCGCGCCATATTTAATCCTGCATCCGCGGACTAAGGTGAGCATTTAATAAGCCTGTTAGTTTAAGTGGCTATTGTTCCAACGCATACAACACCATCCGTTCATTCGGTCGGCATTATAATGCGCTAGACACCGATAGACGGACGTGCGTGAAAGATGAATCACGCCAGTATATTTTCGAAACGGCTGGGAAACGGATAAACCCCCCCCGCTTTTAATCCCAGCACCACATGAAACAACATGCCCTGCCCGTTCTCCTTTGCTCTGCCCATTCAGATTCACGACGTCCTTAATCCCCGTATTCTTTTTTTCACGGTTTATTAGTCGCTGCCAGAGGAAATTCCTGTAATTCCCGGTAATCGTCCCTCGTTCGACGGACATAACGTTAAACGAACCGATCACTGCGCGCAAGAATGCATCGCGATTCACGAAATTGAAAGTTTACGCTGGGGGTCTTGGAAACAGAACCGGGAAGTTCCGATCGAACGATTCAAAATATACCTCTTACAAGGGAACTTCTTGCGTTTAAACGCGTTAAAATAACCACGGATAGATTATGTTTCGTTGGACGGGGCGAGTAAGATGTGTTTTAAAAATTATAGGTGATCAATAGATTCAAAAGTAGATCAATGACCAGAAGAAATATGAAGCTACTGGTTCAGCTTTGGTCAGGAAATCGTTCATAATTTCACCTTATAGAAAACAATTTGTACTCCATATTAGACGAGACAAAATTAATATAATTGTACGCTTGGAACGATCGTTACTAATAACTCAGTCAGAGTACAAAAAGTAACCTGATTACATCCGGTACGATACGGTTACATGTAATCGCACGGTAATTAAACTGCAGTGACATGGTAACTACATAATAATTAAACAACTACTGCACGGTTTAGAGATTATAGTGTATTTACGATCTAATACACGTAATCGTATCGCAATAAATGTGATTACATTTCGATCAACTTTGAACTCAATATACTACGTTTTTCTCTGGCCAAACACCATAAACTTTTGAATTTTCCATTCTTTTATTTCAAAAACATGTTCAATAACAGCGTACTCTAACTTTAAGAAAATTGTTTGTTTACATTTCGGTTGGCGATGAATTTTCGTGAAAAACTGTGCCCCTGTTCTCTTGCCCCCCCCCCTCTAGAAATTCTAGAGGCCAAAATAAGACGAAAATCAAGAATATCAATTTTTTAATTGAGGCTTCGTTAAAAAGTTATAAAAACATTTCAAATCATTCTGAAAAAATTATTTTTGGTTACGGGGGTCAATTACAGTCATTTTTGATGAATAGACATACCCCCGAAATCCTACGTATTTTCGAGACAAAAATTCTTACATATAATCCTTAAAAATACAAGCGGAACTTTAAACGTTAATAACTTTTTAACAAAGCCTCGAACAACAAATTGGTATTCTTGATTTTCGTCTTATTTCGACCTCAACAATCTCCCATTAAATTTTTTCCCGGGGTTGCCCGAACACCCTGTATAATCGGACACACCAGTGAAACCAAATCCATTGCACGAGCAAATATTGAATAATTCAACTTGAGTTTATCCTTGATCGATGTCTATGACGAGTACGTTATATCACGTGGTAATATATAGCCGCAGCCGAACATACTAATACGAGAATGGGTGTTACGTAAGCATAAATGACCACATTTTTCCGACCGCTTTTCGAATTTCGAATATAAAATGCTCGTTCGCGGCGAGTCGAGCTCTCTCGCGAAATTACGTTGAATTTAAAATGTCCTTTATCCGAGTGCTTTTATGGCTGAATGCAACACGCCTCGTACCTTGGGGCATTTCAATTTATAATGAGAACTTGAGAAAAATCGTTCCATTTTCGACGAGAAATTTATTCGAATTTATTTACGGGTCGAAAAATAAAACAAGTCGAATAGTTAAATTACGGACAAAAAAGAACCCTGAATTGATCGATCTGCGCGTGTTCGCCATGATGAATACTTCTTTGTACACTCGAAGGTACAATTTCTTCTAAACATTAATCCAACGTGAATCGCTCGCTGCACGGAAATTATACGCGAGGGAAAGACCCTAAAGCCCTCGAGTATTTCTCGCGAGATCCAACCCCCGAATCCGTGTCTCGGACAGCTGTACCTTGTTAGTCATGGTAATTAGTAACGAGCAAACGGAAATTCGGAGACGATGATTGCATGCATCAGCGACTCAGGTGGCTTGACGTACGAAGGGACGAAGGACAGGTAACGCGACCTGCTTGAACGATGAATTATTCGATTATACGATGCGCCCGTGGAAACGCGCAATTTCCAGCATCAACGGAGCGTTCATTTTTAACGTTCCGCACGATGGTTTATTTACAAAGTCGCCCGGTCGATTCTGGATTCCGATGGGAAATATCAGAGGGCTG